TTAATTTCAAAATTCAATGTATAAAATGCATAAACACCTGATTTTATTTCAGTTTTAAATTCTGTTCAAAGTAAAAGATTATCATCAAAAATGTCTCTGGACGTTTACATGTTGATGGTTTTCTTTATTCATACCCTGAAGATTTTTAATGGGTTACCCCTGCACTAGGCCAACACTCCCATAGCAACAACTGCACAAGAATCCTGGCTCATACTTTACCTTTCAAGTTAATAAGATTGGATATTCGATTGACATCTGCAACTCATTAGGATGGAGACTCAAATAGCTTATCACCATTGGGGTAATGCCGTGGTTTTCTTTGTACTTTATTAGTTTGGTCTTGTTTTACTTCCAGGTTGCCCTGTCGAAGGCCAGGAGTGCAGGAATCATTTCAGAGCTTTCCAAGGTTGTATGCGGACCCTAAAAATTAAAGACCAGCCGGTGGATCTCATCCAGGTGCAGCACAAGCTGTTAGGGGATTACAGCAACCTCCTGATCGACATGTGTACCATTATCGACAGGTGAGATAAAATTATTAAATACATTTTTGTTTCAAGTTCAAACTTTTTTGACAGATTAAGTAATACTAATTTTTTTAAAATGTTTTCCTGATAAAAAAGGGGGTTTCTGGCTTTTCTGAATGCCAGTTTTAATTTAGCCAGTTTGGATTTATTCCTAAGAAATTATTTTATAAATGTTTAGTTTTTCTAGTCATCCTTCTGTATGTTCTTTTAGCCACTTATTATTTGTGTCAGGGGGAGAGGCAATGCTGTTCCGTTAATTTAAGAGAGAAGTCACTTTCAAACGGGATTTCTGATATTAAAATGGTTTATTCTATTAACTCTTTCTTGCATCTAATATCTAATAGTTTGTGTGGGTATATATGCCCTCCCCATTTGATCCTAAGTTTGACTTGATTCAAAATATTGGCAACATTTCAAAATACTAGATGTCTCATGATACATGTTAAAAGCTCGAAGAACAGAACAAATCTACTTGGCTGTTCTTATTCAAGCCTTCCTGTTTTCTCTTGAAATTTCTGTGCTCTTATGCTCTCTCTCAGCCTCAATGAACCACAAAGACATTTTGGCATATTGTGAAAACAAATTCCATTAGTGGATTTTGTGCTTTCTCTGTCTTATTTGCTTTTTTTAATAACTTGCATGCAGTGAACATTTAGTCTTCTTAACAAAGGAAAAACCGTGAATCAATACTTTTTTTGCCTACGCTGACACCAACAATATGAGCGACAAAAAAAGCCCTTTTTACTCCAAAACTGTGCAGAGACCTCTAACGCACGTTTGTGGTCTCTGTGAACATCGGTAGAAGCATTGATAAGAGTGGCTTTGCTTTATATGCTGTGATGATTGAGAAGGAAAGTACTTTTATGATGTCACCTCAAAATGGCGTTCATCAGATTATGATCCTATTTTTAAGTTTTCTTTTCCGAGCAGTAGGGATATTTCACTGACAAGCTTTAATAGTTTAGATAGGTGTGTATAAACTGTTTCTCCACAGCATATAAACAATGTATTTTGGTGAAGTGATGAAAGCACACTCACTCTTCTTTTTAGGTGAAAAAATACATATCTATGGCTTTTATTGAAAAGATAGTGGAACTTAAAGGAATAGTACACCCAAAACATGATTAGCCTTCATTTTCTACNATTACACTATATCAACCATAACAACATAGAACTGTCACTTGTTAGATCAGATCCATCTTCTACCGCTTATTCCAACAGGGTTGCAATGGGGCCGGTCTCTATCTTCAGCAGTCTATGGGCAATAGGCCAGGTACATCCTGGACAGGTCACCAGTCTGTCGCAGGGCAGCCCAGAGACACCCAAAGACATACAACCATGCACAGACATGTGATGCAATCCAGTCAAGAACCATGGCCTCTGACTTGAAGAAGATAATCTTCATCCCAGCCATGTTGCACTTGTCTGCCAAACACCAGTGCATGATCCAGGTCTTGGCAGGAGAGATCCAGCAGAACCTCATCATTCACAAAAATCAGAGACAAGATCCACTGATGAAGGTGTTTGATTAAATTTTCAAGGCTAGCCAACAGTTCCACACTGAGCCTACCTAGGGAAACTGAGTGTAGTAAGGTAGCTCAGTTACTACACTTGAGCTCCGATTTGAATTTCCTGGTAGCTTGTCAATGGACCCTCCAATAAAAATTGATGTGGTCAATAAAATGTAAATACTTTATGTTATTTCATACTACACTGTTCCAGTGCACATAGAAACATGTTATGATATCATACTAATCAATCTCTATGTAAAATAACGTCAAGCGAGAGTTCTGCATTGCCTCTCCATGTCAAAAAGGATCACTATTGACATTTTACTCCCGTCTTGTTCCACATTTCAGGTGCCTAAAGGGCCTGACAGGTTTGGTTTTCTCACACGAGCCCAAGCTGCAAAGAGCCACATGTGAAAGAAATCCACTGCAGACTGAAGAAGATGAAGTCAGGGCAAAGGAGGGGGGAGAGAGGGAGCAGAGGGGAAGGGCTCGTATTGATCTCCCGCCAGGTGTGATGGATAGCGCAATAAGTGGCAGCGGCCAGTGGAGGAGAGGAGAGAGTGATTTCAGCTTTTCAAAGTCCTGATGAATGAGAGCGTCAGAGGAAGGCCGGCGTCCAGAGGCCAGCGCATGATGGACTGCTGTGTCAGGCGGAGAGAAATTGAAGAAGAAAGAAGAGGTTAGGGGGATGGAGGGAAGGCAAGAGCTTTTTACGGAGGGCAAGCTGGGAGGAAGAGAGCGAACTCGAGGCATGAGCGGGGAGATAAGAGACAATGTACGGGGAAAAGGAGGCATGTGAGATGAGGGGGCCGACGTGTAAAGAAGAGGGTCAATAAAGAGCAGAGAGAAAGAGGACGACGGAGAGACTGAGATAGAGAGAGAGATGAGAGCAGGAGGTGACAGCAGAGTGAGTTCATCTTTATTAATGGCCAAAGAGCAGAGAGGGAGTTATTAAAAAGGAAAAAGATGAATGAAAGAATGAGTGTAAACGAGGGGAGGGGTGACAAAGGGAGATGTGATGTATGCTCCCTCCCGGCTTTCTGAAATCCAATAATAACACTGAGGAATGGGACAGCTGGTGGACTGAGGGGAGCAGAGGAGAGGAGGGAAGGAGCGTTTCCAGAGAGCAGCCAGTGAAGACCAGATAGGGGCAGCAGAGACTTTCCACATGATGGCATGTACTGCAAGGATGCTTTTAGGGAGAAAAGAGTTCTATGAATATTATTATTTATCAGCAAAATCAAATCAATAAGGAGGTGAATAACAAACTGCTCCTGGCATCTGTCCATTGTGGGCTTTATTTACTCTGATAATATGCTAATTATGTAGCTGTATCAACAGCAGTGGGGTACCTACCCCAAATATTTATCTTCTCGCTCTCATACTATGGCTAATAGCCCAGTGTAGCTAACCTTTGGTCATGCATGTTAACAATCTGTTCTGCGTCTGAAGCAGTGTATAACGTTGACCAGGGGTCACCAACGCGGTGCCCGTGGGCACCAAGGGGCCCTCAAGGACCACATGGGGTGCCCTCAACGCCTTCTGAAAACAGCAACTCAGCAGTGGGCTAAGTTTGAAACTGTATTTTATTCTGTGACTCTTCTTTTTAATAACTTATAGAGCATTTCATCATAGTAATCATATAGGGCATTTTAGCATTTATAGAGATTTTAAAATTATAATGTTTAAAGGAAAATTAGAAATTAAAAGTTAACAATAAAAATGTGTTTAATTTGGATGAAGTTTAGGTGAACGCTGACCCCTCTTGTTCACAGGTCAGTATTGGTAGCCCTTCCTATGATTCAATAGCCATGAAGTAGCCCTCAGCCTTGAAATGGTTGGTGACCCCTGACGTTGACTGTATATTACATGGATGTTATTTATAAATAGTACATTTAATAAATAGCATTTAGGCATCATTTAAAAAAAATTTTTTGGGGGGGTGGAGAAAGTTTTCTAAGGAAATTATTTTAAAGATGGCCTGTAAAAGCTAGGTAGCAGAGGGATTAAAAAAAAAAAAATAAATATATATATATATATATATATATATATATATATATATATATATTTTTTTTTTTTTTTTTTTTAAACACAAAGCGAGCAGATAAACTATTGAAATGTGCTCCTGCAGTCACAACGGGATTCGAGACTGAATGTAGTCCACTGGATGATTGTTTTTTGTTGAGTTTTTGATGACCTCAATAGTATGCAACAGGTTAGTTAGTTAGTTAGTTAGTTAGTTAGTTAGTTAGTTAGTTAGTTAGTTAGTTAGTTAGTTAGTTAGTTAGTTAGTTAGTTAGTTAGTTAGTGCGTGCGTGCATGCATGCTTTCTTTCGTTCGTTCATTCGTTAGGTAGTCTCATAAGATAAACTATGGCCATTTCTCTATATGTGTTCTTGTTCATGCCATGTGCTCGTGAAACGTCATCAGCCTCAGCCATAGTACTGTTCCAATTCACAAGAACAAGAAGACCAAAAACGGACAAAACGCCCCTCCCTATTTACGGCATTACCGTGTGTGAAGTACCGCTGGCTCTGATGGCGAGTTTTTTGTTTTGTTTTGCAAAATGTTCATTTGATGTGTGTTCATCTGACTGTGTTTATTATTATTCCCCCGCCAAATGAAAAATCAGAATTTATTATTATCTAGAGACTATTAATAACAGGAGGTGAAATGCAGCTCCAGACAAGCCGAGCGTGTGGTGATGTCACAAGTACGCTTCTATTCCAATTGTCCCATATTTATGCTGTGTGCTCCTGTTCTCCCCAAGTCCACACTTTCCTGTGTTCTTCTCGAGAACATAAAACTCCTAAACAATGTGGCACTGATTTATTCAAGGAAGCAGTAGTTAATCTTGCATACACACATATAAAAAGTTTTTACTTCGTCAAAATATCAGAAAATGTACTGACTATTGTTCTAAGCTGCTGTTTTAGTTAGCCCTCCTTTATGCTAAGAGGTTTTAGGGCAGAGCAGGAGAAGACTGGCGCAAGTAGATCAAGATGATGTAGTTTCTTTATTTTTAAGATCTGCTTTTACTTTCAGAGTTTGACTCAAGTCGGAAGTCAGTTTTGCCAAGATTTGAGCCCCACAAATCTGCTTCTGTCCCTTCTTTTTTTAACGGCCTTTGGATTTATTGGGCTTTTAAACCAACATTCCCAGATGGTTTTAACGTAACATCCTTTAATCAAACGTGACTCATGTTTTTGTCAGAGTCACACTAGATTGCCACAACACAAAGCTATGATGGTTGGTGCTGCTCTGAATCCAACCCGAGGGCTGAGAACGTCTTGTTCCTTTAAATCACCAAACGGGAATGAAATGAAAGAGTTCCTCTGTATTATTAAAAACAGAAGATGACCCTCTGAGGGGAATACATGTCTATAAAAACACATTTTCAGGTGAAAAATTAGCAACCGATAATAAAAATTTTAAAAACACTATTCTTGGGTCCACAATGAGCTTTTTTTGTTGTTGTTTCTTTTCACAAAAGAAAAAGAGGGCTGTTGAAACCCAAAAACTAAAACACATACATCATGATAGATATATAGATCATGAAGTTACCTACGATACGGATAATAGGAGTTTTTAAAGGCAGAATTCCTGCCTGGTCTTTAAAAAAAAAAAAAGAAAGCATTTTTCTCTGTTACAGCAGAATCAATAAAACATGACAGCTTGTCCTCACGCCGGCAAGTACTGACACACAGTCCTGAATCACCTTCAATGCGATGTGACTCAGGCTGGCAACAAAAGAGCGCTTAGTTTGGCACATCACAGGTTCTCCTGGCAGTTTGCTGAAAGAAAACTGGAGCGGCTCATTCAACAAGAGATGACAGACACGCTTAATTAAGGAAATGTGGGGGTAAAAAATAAAAAAAAAATGCTAAAGTCCTTTCCTGAATCTACAATCCCGCCCCCTCTCCTCCCAGCAGAAGGCATTCTTTGCTATAAAACTCAACTGGAAAAATTTCAGTGTGACGGATATACACAGTGGGTTGCTCGGAGGAGTAAGGTACATGAATATGAATAAAAATGATTCCAGTAAAAAGAAGTTAAATCACCGAATGGTCTCACACTTTAAGAGTCAGCATGTGATGAATTTGCTCTAAATCTTGTCTGTAAGACTCTCCTCTGCAGTGAATGGTTTTGGCAATGTTCCGCTTTCCATGCATCTGTTTCAATTTCATCTGTAGGTCTGAAGATTTTTGCTAGCCATATGTGCCATAAATCATTACCCTGTAGCTAAAATAAAAGCAGTTACTTGAGAGTTGCTTAGAGTTTTGGGTTTAACAGTACTCAGTGTACCTAAGCTGAATTATTTTATAATTTTCCCAATAACTTTCTAGATTTATGGGGGAGAAAACAAAAAAAAAGGAGTAGCGTCTCTTTGAAGCTCTCTCTTTGTAATAAAATGTATCTACCTTTCAAAATGATTTGTACCATTACTGTTTTTAAATAGGATTCTGAATGGACGGTTCTAGACCATATTTATTAAGGGACCAGGGTGGGGCCAGTGTTTTTTTTTTTGTTATCGGAGAAAAAACAAAAATATTACAACTATAAAAAATAAAAATGCAAAGTCAGCCACGTAGTCAAAGAACCACTGGTTGCTCTGGAGCTGCAGGTTGCAGACCCTTAGTCTATCTTTCTTATACCTCATCCAAAATAGTCATTGATCCTAAGCTATTTTCTATATTTATGCTGCTTTAGGCTTAGGCTGCTGGAGGACATAGGGACCTCTTTTCACCATTCTGCTTCATACCATTTCTGTTCTCCCACTCGTCAATATTTGTTTGTTCGACCTCTAACTTTGTGTTCTTCCTGCTTTTTCTCATCATAGTAGCTTCATATAGTCTGGTCCTGTTTGTTTCTTTTAGTGTGACCAACTGTATCTCTTTCATCTCTTGACATAAGAGCTTTCTCAGAGCTCGTCTGCCTGACTGTGTGTTTCCTAGATGTGGCCGCCTGTGGAGCTGGTTAGCTTTTGTATCTCTGCTTCTTTCTGTATGTCTGCTTCTGTCTCCTTGAACCCAGGCGGCCTTTTCAAATTCCCCCTCAAAATGAGCCCAGTTCTGCTGCAGAGGCCAGCGCCCCTGGCCTCTTTTGGCTTCCATCTATAATCGCTCATGTTGCATGGAGAACGTGTGTGCCCATCACTTTTTTGGTGCTTCTTTGCTCTTTATCCTGCTGAACAATTAACCTTGTTTCAAGTCTTCAACAGCCTCTAACAGGTTTTCCTTCAGGAACTTCCAGGAATATGTTCCATCCATCATCCCATCAACTCCAGCTTCCGTTCCGTTGCTGAAGAATAGACAGGCCCGCTGCATGATGGTGCCACCACTATGTTTGACACTGAAAATAGTCAGTTTGTGCTGCAATGTGGTGTCCTACCCACACATTGCTTCACATGTAGGCAAAAATTTCACTTTTTAGTCTCATCTGATCAGAGCGCTGTCGTTCACACATCTTCTCTGTCACTATCGCCGACTTTAGCCACAATAAATGTGAGATCTTATATCTCTCTTTCAATGGGGGCTTCTTTCTAGCCAATTTTCCATGTAGTGCATAACTATCAGTTGTATCCAA